AGCCAAACAACCTACAAACACCCTAAACCCTAAACCTAAAACCCAAAACCCCAAACCCTACCCTAAGAAGGCTCCAGATCGCAGCCAAACAACCTACAAACCATGCTCACTATGATACGATGGAGGACTTCAGAGGCTTCGAAGGATTTGGCTTCGGGGGGGGGGGGGCTAGGTTTAGTGTTTAGGCTTTATAGGGTTTAGTAGGTGAACCCATAAATCACCCGCAGGATCTGCGAGTGGAAGAGGCATCAAAAGCGAGCCGAGTGTCCACTTCCTTCCGAACTCCTGCGAACGGAAAGGCTGTGAGGTTTTGCCGGCTTCTGGAATTTAGAGTTACCTTGTTTAAGGGTTCTCATGACAAAGGTTTTAATCCTGTTAGGCAGAGCTGAACCTTGTAATTCGGAGTCTGTGGTTCCTCTGTTTTTGCAGGCAACCCCAAAAAATATCCCTGAACCCCAAAAACCAAAGCCCTAGAACGCGAAAGCCCTAAACCCTAAACCCGAAGCCCTAAGAACCAAAAGCCCTCCCAGCCAAAACTGTCTGGTTTTGAGCAGGGAATGGGGGAATGGGTTATTGGGACTAATATTGGGGATTTTTTTGTGGGGACTATCTTAGGGATCCATTCCCCCATTCCCTACTAAGAACCAGACAGAAAAAGGAGCAGTGGCACCTTGAGGTCGTCGGAGGGGACTTCGTTCGAGACGTGTACCACGTTCCTCAGGCATTCGGGCGTCGGGCTGGGATTCAGGCTAGCTCTAGATCTATGTAGACATATATTATGTATAGACAAATACTTATAAATACACAGAGATATAGAAATATAGCTATATCGTTCTTGTAGATATAAAGATATGTAGGTAGCTGGGAGTCCCAAGGCTGCTGAAGATGCCCAAAGTCTAAGGCCGTTTAGGGGTCAGCGTCGGCATGTCATGGGGTGCGGGGCTCAGGGCTTGGTGGGATCTGGGTTTTCCGGATGTCCGGCTGGGACTCTGATCGCCGTTCGGGCATCTACGAAATGCACAGCCCCTAGGTAGAATCCGAGATCCCAAAAGCTAGGGCTCCACCGGAAAGTTTAGGTGCATTGATCGTTAGAACAGGGCTATGTGCACTCTAGCATCATAGTTCGGCAGGGACTGCAGCGGAATAGCAGGACATACCAATCCCAAAAATTCCAGTACCCAACTAATGGGGTCTAGGTCCCAAAATCTATACTCTGCATGGTGTTGGGACCTTACCACGATTTGGGCACTTGGACCCTTAAGACCCTAAACCCTCACCCTGGGCATCAAAATTATCCCCGTGGACCGGTTTACTTTGGCCGCGGCACGTCGCAGCAAATCGCCGAGCATTCGGATCTCGCGACTCCTCTGTCTGGCGTTTTGTAGGGAACTCGGTTGGCACTTTAAAGCCTCTGAATGTTTTTTCGCAAATAGGGTCCTATTAAGCACAATATGGGGAAATATAAAATGTCCCAAAGGCCTACCTAGGGAAAGGGGGAATGGATCCCTATATAGTCCCTAGATAATCCCCAATAATAGTCTCCATAATCCGTTCCCCCATTCCTTACTAAGCACCAGGGAGTCTTGCTCGAGGGGCGAACCCAACCCCCCCCCCCCCCCCCCCCCCCCGGAAGTGGGGTTTGGGTTCAGGGTTCAGTTTCCCGTAAAAACCACAGCTAGTAATACTCCAAACATCTCTAGCCCCATCTAACAGAGTACTATGAAATCCACACGTTTGGGTTCTTCCTTGTAGCTCCGTCTATTGCATGGGTCTGGGAAGCAAAGCTTCGGTTGAAACCTGGGTCTCCACAGCCATATAAGGGACCGTCCCTAAACCTTAAACCCTAAACCCAGGTTTGAAGGGTTAGGGTTTAGGGTTCGGATTTAAGGATAGAGACGGGGAGCTCTGAAGGGACTGGGAATAATCACTTATGTGCGAGCCAGAAGTTGCAAAGTCTTTTGGTTTACCACCTGATACTGTATACTTACTTAGGCGCTGAATACCCTGGCCCAAAAAGGGCTAACCCTTTTGGTTAAGGTAGGATTAATCATTTGAGCCCCAAAAGGTCAAGGGTTACCTACTGAGCCCCTAGGTATAGGGTCCGCTAAAGTCTGATTTGGCTCCATTCCTTGATTGCTGAGTGTCCCAGACCCCCGGGAGGATCCAGAAAGTAGATCCCCTAATTTGGGGCCCTATACTATTCAGGGTACTTTGTCGGAACTCCCATTAAGGGATCTACTTGTTGGATCCTCCCTTGGGAGCCTCTGCGGACAGCAGACGGGCCCAAGAAGCGGCTGTTCCTTTGCGGGAGAAACGAAGGTTGCTGTAGGCCGTGAGCGACAGAATTCAACACCCCTAACCTAAGAGGGCATACTTCAACTCATACTAGAACCCAACACCCCTAACCTGAGAGGTCATACTTCAAGTCATATTAAGGACACGCTGCATGATCCCTTATTAACACAAGGTAAAGGGCTCACGAAGATAAAGGCCCCTAGCGCTTTAGTGAACCCTGATACCCTGCAAAACAACTAGGGTTTAGGGTTTAGGGGTTCAGGGCTTTAGGGGTTTTGGGTTTACAGGTTTGGGGGTTGAGGGTTTGGGGGCTTGGGGTGAGGGGTTTAGGGTGTAGGGGTTTAGGTTTAGGGAGTAGGGAAGTTAGTTTCGTCAGCGATGCCATGCGCTGAAAGCAGTCCTGTGCTGGGACGATGCAACCTAGAAGGTTGTCTCCGTGCCTGGGCTTCGGGGATGTACCGATTTGGGAAGCTTCGCTTGGGGTTTCGGGACCTTGATAACTAGACTAGGGTTCTGGGGCCATTTTGCTATAAATATAAGAAGGAACCCCAGAAAACATGGTTGTATCGGTAACTATGTAGGCCCCTGTAGTGGGCTTGAGGGCTCCCAAGCCTTTAGCGGTTTAGGATGTAGAGCTTCAGGGCTTCAGGGCTTTAAGAAGCAGGGGGTTTAGGGTTTAGGGTCTGCCCAGAAATCAGCCTACAGTGCCGCGGAAGCCCCAACAGAAACGATAAGCTGAGCCCACGCCTGCCTGCTTCTTAAGGATGTATTTGTGGGCTATAGGTTTTACGGTATTTTGGGAGTTTCCGAAACTAGGAAACCCTAATATAACACCCTAAATTGTAGGATCCTTATTATAAGGACCCCAAAATGAGGTACCCCAAATTTTCGGAAACTCCCATTTCGGGTGGTGTCTTTAGGGAATCTTTAGGGGTTGACTTGTCTGAACGACCAAGCACACAAATGCAAACCCTAGGATTTTGATTTATTCCCATTGGCCAGCGGAAGTCGCAACTGCCTTCATGATAAAGATGGAATTTCTGTACAGATTCCACGGGATTGAAGATCTACAAGGGTTCTAGAACAGAGGGAAGTTCATAACTAGACTGGGATTTGGGGATACTCTTATGGAAGGAAGAACACGGGCAGTTTAGATAATCTTACCCTTATATGAGGTAGCTATAAAAGCCCTAAGCCACAAAAGGATCTGTTGCAGGAAATGACGACCACGTCTAGCAATCGTGTGACAGCAGAGGCCAAAGTACAGTTCAGGGCTTATCGTAGAAGCCAGAAAGTTGGAAGATTTTTATCCTCATGGCCTACAGGCAAAGTGTCCGGGATCCTAGCACTAAGCATGCAATATGCATGTTCCAACTTTCTGGGATTCACTTGAGGGAGCCCTAAACCCTAAAGTGTGGGGGGACTCTGGGATGCAGCATTGAGGGTTTAGGGTTTAGGGTTTAGGGTTTAGGGGTTAGGGTTTAGGGTTTAGGGTTTAGGGGTTAGGGTTTAGGGTTTAGGGTTTAGGGTTTAGGGTTTAGGGTAAAGTCTCTGCTTCGCTCGACTTCAGGTGGAACTCTGGGGGGACTGGAGGGGTTGAGGGTTGCGGTTCAGGGCTTGGGTTCACGGTGTGTGCTTAGTAGTCTTGGGTTTTGCGTCTAAGGGCTGAGGGATAGCATCTGTTGCGCTAAGAACGGGGTGTTCGCAAGAGCAGTAGGACTATGACACTTGTACCTTGGTAGCACCAAAGCCAGGGACTGATTGTTAATGCCTTAAGAGGGTTGGTTGAAGCCTTACATGGCCAAACGCATTGGGGTTGGATCCCTTGCAAACCTCTACCGAAAGCACTCTCACCTGCGAAGCGCTGCGAAACCTAGCCCAATCTCCTCAATGTCCTAGACTTCCCCGAACCCTAAACCCCCACACTCCAAACCCTAAACCTGAACCCTAAACCCTTAAACCCCTGAACCCTAAACCTGCTAAACCCCCAGAAAAGTTGGAGCACTGCCTGACCCCAACCCGAGGGCCGAAGTAGTGAGAAGATCTAGAGCCCTGACAAACCCTAAACCCTAAACCCCTACTACAGGGGCCGGGGTTTAGGGTTTAGCGGTTTAGGGTTTCGGGCTTAGGGATTACAGGCGCCTTAATAATTAGAATAGGGTCTGGGGTTATACTATACTATCATTTTGAAAAGGCCCCCACAGAATAGTATTGGTCATTAATTATTTCGCCCCTATAGTAAACCCTGACAAATCCTAAACAGAACATGATGGGAGGCCAAAAGGGTGGTCAAAGATTCTTGGGGTAGGGATTCCTTAATATGAACCCTATTATGGGAACCCTAATCCCAACTAAACCCCCATAGGCTAAAACCCCTTTTGGCCTCCTATGAGAACCCTGGCAAATCCTCACTGAAGCCCTTCTAAACCCCTAACCCCGAAAACTCTAAACTAAACCCGAAAACCTAAACCCTAAACCCTGAACTCTAGACCCTAAACCCTAATCCCTAAACCCTAAACTCCTAAAACCCTAAACTAAACCCTAAACCCTAAACCCTAAACTCTAAACTCTAAACCCTAAACCCTAAACCCTACACTGCACCCTAAACCCTAAACTCCTAAAACTCCAAACCGAACAGCATCCAGGCAGGTTGCTGGATCTGGGCTGGGCGGCAGAGGACCTCCCGGAGGTTCAGGTAGACCTCGCTACCTCAAGGGGAGCGCTTATAGGGTTCCTTTAAGGGGTCCTTTAAGGGATCCTCTAGGTTTAAGGGTTTAGGGTTTGGAGGCTTAGGGTCTAGATGTTTAGGGTCTAAGGTTTGAGTGTGTAGGGTTTGGGGGTTTGGGGTTTGGAGGGAGCAAGGTCTTCAAATTGATCAGTTACAATAGGTTCTCGTTTTTTCCTGTAAGGGCCTCGGGTTGAGGTGACTTGGGTTTAGTGAGAAACTACGGCACGTTTCAGATTCGGGATGCAGCTTGATGCTAGGGTTTAGGGTTTAGGGTTTAGTGGCCGTGGTCGTAGCTGCTGAAGTAGAAGCACCAACAGGTACTTTGTAGTACTAGATAGTAGGCAGTTGTCGTCGCCGTCGCGGTCGTGGTAGCGTTGGTAGTGGCAGTGGTTAGTGGGCGTGTTAGTGGTCGCGGGTTGTCTCGTAGTGGCAGCGGCAGTGGTAGTGGCAGAAGCATTGGTATGAGTCGTCGCAGCCGTAGCAGAGTAGCAGCCCTGAAAGCATGTACATGTACCGATGCATTAAGTATACGCATACATACATACATACATACATGTATATACATACATGTATATATATATATATATGTATATATGTAGCTGCATCCAGGTATGCAGGTATGTAGATATGCAGGTATATAGGTATGCAGGCTAGAGAGACGGCGCCTCGCCCGTCCACCGACACCAGCGTCTGGAGGATTCCCCAGCCTCTGGCATCGAGGCTTGCACTAAACCAAGAGCAGCTTAGGGCTCGAGGTTCAAGGCTTGGGGTCTTGTCCCTTTTTCTTACACTGTACTATGTGATAGAATGGAATATCATATTATATTATAGTATAGAATCTTGCTTTTATAAGACATTTCGGATATTTAGAGTTCATGGTCTAGGACCCATCGCTGAGGATGGCTCGAAGAGACGGTCGAGCAGTGCTGGAACAGATACATCTTGCACTCATGCACATGCACGTAGGCACGCACAAACCCCAAAGCCCTCCTGGCAAGGACTCCGAAGAAGGGAAGCCTGACTCCTTCGGAACACCACCAGGGCAGACTCACGCAGGTGGCCTCTGTCGTTGTTCCAGAACTTGACGACACCTGCAGTGACTCTGAGACTTCCGGGACACCCAAAACTTCTGAAACACGAGCCCTACAGTAGAAGCCAGAAAGTTGGAATATTATAATCCTAACCCCTTTATGGTAAATTATAGGGGATCCTACCATTAATCCATATTCCAACTTTCTGGAGTTCCCTTTAAACCCTGCAAACCCTAAACCTGTACGGTTACAAGTGTGGGGGGCCCTGCTCTGGGCCTTAGCTACTAGACCCAGGAGTAACCTGGTAATAAAAAGGGTGCCCTTTTGGGGTTCAAAGGGGGGTTTATAAGGGAACCTGAACCCCTAAAAAAAGGGGGAATGAGGGCTTACTCTGGGTCCTAGGCTATGAACTGCCTGGCTATGGCTAAAAGGAGCATAGGCCTGGCAAGACGTGGTTCTTCCTCGGCCGGCCAAGGAGTGTCTTGGAGTTCACGGTTTAGGGTTTAGGGTTTAGGGGTGGAGGGTTTGGGGGTTTAGGGTAAAGCTAGGGTTTAGGGGGGGAGGGTTTGGGGTTTGGGGTAAAGCTAGGGTTTAAGGTTTGGGGGTAAAGGGTTTAGGGGTTTAGGGTTTAGGGGTTTGGGGTTCAGGGCCCTGCATTTTCAGGATGTCCAGAGACTCCAACAGCAATCAGAAAGGGCCCTTAATGTTCATTACGTTGGTTCTAGGATATATTGGGCTATAAATCTATAATTGTGCAATAACGATAACCCCAAGTCTCCAGGTACCTTTGTAGCAGATACTTAAGCCTTAAAGGGGGTCCCTATATGGGTACTTTCAGGCCTAAGTGTATGCTAGATGGCTATATGGGTACATAGAGCCTTGGTGTAACAAGGAGTCCTGAGGGTAAAGGGGTTACAGGATCCAGAGAAAAGACATCTCTTTCAGGGGTTTAGGGTTTTAGGGTTTAGGGTTTAGGGTTTTAGGGTTTAGGGTTTTAGGGTTTAGGGTTTAGGGTTTAGGGTTTAGGGTTTTAGGGTTTAGGGTTTAAGGTTTAGGGTATTCAGATCATCATCTCTTTTCCGAGCCTTAGTGTTGAGATCCTCAAGAGAATGCTTCGTTTGATGGGGTGTTTGCCACGCTCAAGAAAGACCTTTAAATGCGAAGCGCTAGGCTACAAATCTTCAAGCCGAATCCCGAAGCCCAAATAGAGCATAAATTCAACCAGCTCTTACCCTTAACTCAAATCTCTAAACCCAACTGGCCTAAAGCCCCATAAACCCTAAACCCCCGAACCCCAAATCACGGTCAAGACCAGATTCTCTTCCTCCAGAGGCTTCAGCTGTTTGACCTGAGGCAGGGAACCGACGGCAGGGAAAAGAGGCTGTGGCTTTCATGTTATGCATTTCTGTGTGTATATATATATATGTGTGAGAGTATGTATGTCTATATAATAATAATTGTTATTACATAATATATAGAGAGAGTTTATGCAATTATCAAGGCTTTAGTTTTAGAGCTTCAGCTTTCGGGTGACGGCTTCGGCTCCATTAGGGCTTAGGGTTTGGGGCATGGGGCTTGATGTGATGTTGCACTACGGCGGTGAAAGCTATGAAACACGTCTCTCTGTGTGTGTGTGTGTGTATGTGTGTCTGTGTGTCTCTGTGTCTGTCTGTGTCTGCGTGTGCGCGTGCCTGCGTGCGCGTGTGCGTGTCGAGTGCTTCAGGAGTTTTCAGGTTCAGGGCTCCGAAGCCAAACTCCGATATCCCCACTCTGCAACCTCGAAGGAGGGCATGGTGTTACTCAAGGGGATCTCATACATAGAATAGAACTGGGGCTTACCATAGTGACATAGAAAGTTATATGTGGACAACACCGGGATAGTCAATAGTGGCATAATGGATCCCCCGATTGACCCCCTGAAGCCTAAACCCTAGTCAACATCCAAAGCATTGCAAATCCCAGACACTTGACCAAAAAGGCGAAAGCCAAATCCTCAACCCAACCTCAAACTACCAAACTCTAAATTTTCGGGAAAAATATGGAATTTCTAGGGACCCTGCAGAAAAGTAGCTTTTGGTAGCTTAAGGAGACTGTACATAGAAACTTGGGAGCGCACCCAGCGGTTCATGCAGTACCTTTGCGGCAGACGCTGCAAAAGACTACCCATAGCCGGTTTAGGGTTTGGGGGTTCGAGTTCAAGGTTTGAGGTTTAGGGTTCAGGGCTGCAAAAGACTACCAACAGCCCAGGATGCTAAGTAACCTAGGAAAAAAAAGGGCTCCCTTGTTGGTATTGGGTACCTTTATAAGGAACCTAGGACTACAAGAAGGGAATAAGGTACTACTGGGCATTCTAGTAGCTGGTTTAGGGTTTAGGGTTCAATAGCTAAGATCTGCGACCAGAGAGATCACAGCACAACTAGACAAGGAGGAGTTAGAACATGGCGGCGATATGACTATAACATCCGCCTCAGTCAAAGGGAGCTTAATTAGGGAATATTCCTTAAATCATATTAGGGATCCTACTATGATTTAGGTTTTTCTCTAATTAAGGTATATTGGAGTCTCTGGATTCGCTTTACAGTGCTCCTAGTCCTTGGAACCGCTCTAGGACTCGCAACCACTCTGAGCTGCGTGCTTAAGGTTTTGGGTTTAGGGTTTCAGGTTTAAGGCTCAGGTTTTCAGGTTTACGGTTTAGGGTCGTGGTTTAGGGCGCAGACATCGAAGAGGCCCCGCCGATATCCTGGAGATCCCCGGGCTCGAAACTTCACCGTCACGGATCTTACTGAGCACCCTATGCAAGGGGTGGAGGCCTCCAAAGGTGGCATGAAGGTAGGTAGGATCAAGGATCCCTTACTTGGAAGGGCAGGGGACTTAGTAAGTAGGTTATAAGTAGAGTTATAAGTACCCTAAATGGAGTTACCCCAATTATAACCCTACTTATAACCTACTTACTAAGTCCCCTGCCCTTCCAAGTATATGTAAGGACTCTTAGTTGGGGATTACCCCATCTACCTTCATCCCACCCGTGAAGCCCTTTGAAAGGGGTTTAGGGTTTAGGGTTTAGGGCTAAACTCCGGTTCACGTTCAGGGGCACCTTTTCTGATTCAACTGATCAGACCCCAAACTAGTTCCAATTTCAGTGCCCTCTACACACCCAGCAGAACCCGCAGAAAGCCCTGCAACGCCCGATCAAACCCCGAAGAAGCCGTCAAAACCAGCTTTAAACCTTCAACCCTCAATCCATCTGCCTAGAGCCCGCAGTACCCTCTAATATACCCCAAATACCCACTATTAAGGGTCATCAGGACTTCATTAAAGAGTCCATCTGCAGACCCAGGGACAACTGGAAGCCCCTCTGCCGGGCATAGCCCTCGGGAAGGCCATGCGCCTAAAGGTTCAAAGGTCATAGATGGGTTCTATACGGCTGTTCTGTGGGTGTTACAAAAGGGAGCCTAGAATGGGGTTTAGGGTTAGGGAAGCTTAGGGTTCAGGGTTCAGGGTTTAAGGGTCTTAAAGGTGGTGTTTACAGGGCTTCGGTGTCTCCAGGATCCAAAGCTTTGGGGTCTGGGGGCCAACCCTACTCCTAAACTCCGAACCATAACCCGGGTAATACCCTAGGGCTATAAAGAACTCATGTAGTAACTAATATAGTAAGGCTTTTGGGCTCTTGGGCTGCTTTGATGCCCAGGGATCAATCCGAAGCACAGCAAAACCCTTAACTCTTCGATGCTGAGCCCTCAACCCGAAAAAATGAAGGGGTTTGGAGTTCATTCTGTATTGAGGGCCGGGGAGCGAGTTTCGGGGCTACGTCGAAGCCTTCAAATCCCCCGATGTGCAAAGGGTGTTTCATTGTGGTGCCATCTTAGCTTAGATGAGCGCTGGGAGACATCCCAAACCCTAAACCCACTTAGGCTTAGCCTTTATAGGAGCCAGAGACAAGATTTGGGTCCAAACTCCAAAATGCACAGCTCCGCCGGCAGCAACCATGTAGGGTTTGAAGCTGAGGGTTTAGTTAATGATTGCTGCGCAAAGTTTGGGGTTGAAGCCTTAGGTTTTCGTCAAAATTTGGCAGTTACTGAATTCGGTAAAATTCGTCTTGAAGCCTAATTAATCTAATTATAAACATCCTGCCAGAATCTTGAACGAATCCTCGATCGAATCTGAAATTTCAGGGTTCGGAGCAGGACGCCCTAAACCCTAAACCCTAAACTTCTGCTGGCCTCGCGTGTGGCATTGTCCCTGCCTCCGTCAGCCTGTCGGTCCTGTCCACGTCCGGAGTTTAGGGTTTAGGGTTTTACCCATAGGATAGTAGTTCCTTTTGGGGGTTACCTTATAGGATTCTAAATATAAACCCCAAAAAGGAACTACTATGGAGCCTTAGGGTATCGGGGTGTCGGGTTTATCAGGGTGGAGGGCAGGGTTTAGAGTTTGTGAGGCTTTTGACGGGCTCCTGCTGAAAACTACACTGCAATATGCCCCAAGACAGCTGACAAACACCTGCTGTTCGTGCTAAGGCTTGTGACTGCCACGTCTATCTCGCGATACCGTCTTACAAGTTGTGACACAATGCATCAACCTCGACTGCCGCTGGTGCTACTGCTGTTGATGGCATCCTGCATACGCACAGACGTACACACGGACGTGCACGCGTACATGCATTATACATACATATCTACGTACCTAGTTACCTAGTTCATGCGGTTGATGATATAAATCGTGCGTTACCCATAATAAGGAATATACCATAATTCCCATAGTCTAGGGTCATTCAGAATCTATATCATCAGCCGTACCTACATACAATACATTGCATTGCAGGACACTATGTTGCATGGCATTACAGTACACTACACTGCATTACATTGCATGTCACTGCAGGGCAGTACGTTCCGTCGAATGACATTGCACGATGATACATTACAATACACTACAATGCAATGCAAAACAAGACGAAACGAGACCCTCCTTACATATTTCCACGCACATTCACGCATGCACACGTCGCATGCATGAATGCAACATGATGATGCGATGGTTACGCTCTGTTTGCACGTACATCTGCAAGTTCTGGACTTGAAAACTACCATACCCCGTTTTTGAAGGGCCCCTGTAGATCCTGCACTAAGGGTCTGTGTCAGCACCTCCAAAAAGACCAGGCGATGGTAGTTTCAAGCCCTTACCACCAGATACCCAACCCTAAGCTCCACAACTCCAGACCCTTGAACACGAAAACAGCACACCCCTGAGCCCTGAACCCTAAAGCCCTAAACCCTAATCCTTCGAGCATTTCGACTCTAAGGTATGTGGATCCCGACGGGAACGAAGTCAACATCTCTGTTTTAGTAGAAACTTCATGGATGCTGCAGTCCGTGCTTCCACGAGTTTTCAAGGGAGCCTGGAACGGTGCTTACGTTGAGACGGAAAAACACACTGTGTTGTAGGGGCTTTAATAATTCGAAAAGGGTGGTGTGGGTTCCCTATTCTAGTCACAGTATAGTAGACCCCCAGACCCTATTCTAATTGTCGAGGCCCCTAGATTATGTACCCGATCCTCCTTCCTGCCAAACCCTAACCTACCCTAACCTACCATACCCTACCCTAACTACCCTAAACCCTAAACCCCGCCCGAGGTTTTGGGCCCATGCAGCCCCTGGCAAACTGTGAATCCAGGAGGCCCGGATGAAGCTGAGATTAAAGTAAAAGCCAGAAAGTTGGAATATGATTATCCTAAACCCTTTATGGTAAATTATAGGGTATCCTACCCTGAAACCATACTCCAACTTTCTGGAGTTCCCTTTAAACCCTTAACCCCAGAGCCGAAAATCTAACCCCGAAAACCGTTCCTTCAAGGGATAGTGCAAGGGTTTCTGTTAAGGGTTTCTAGACCTAAGAGTAACCTAGGAAGAAAAAGGGTGCCCTTTTTGGTTTGAAGGGGCTTATAAGGGAACCTAAACCCTAAAAAAGGGAATAAGGGCCTACTCCGGGTCCTAGTAAGGGTTTAGAAGAGGGGGCCTTGATAATTAAAGCAGGGTTTGGGGGTATAGTATGAAAGAAACAGGGGTGGTTGTCAAAATTATGATTATTTAGGGTCCCTATTATGATACGGCACCTATTATTTAGGGTACCCAAAAAGGGACCCTTATTTTGACAACCACCCAAATATGGAAACACCGAGCACGCGGCAGCCTCGCTGTTCCAGACCTTCTCGCGTTCAGCTTTTTCCTCGGAGCGTTCGGATTTAGGGTTTAGGGTAAGTTTAGGGTTTAGCGTTTAGGGCTTAGGGTAAGAGGTCGATAAGACTTGTAAGAGGTATAACATATGAGGTTCTATACGAATCCTTTAAGGTGTGGGTTCGCGATTTTTGTTGGTGGTAGTTACGGTTGATGATATAAATCCTGCACTACCCATAACAAGGAATATACCATAATTCCCGTAGTTTAGGGTCCTTCAGGCATTGCAGGATTTATGTGATTTCTTGTTTCCTTGTATGGGGTCCTTAGAGAAAGGTAGGTTCTGTAGGGTCAAGGTAAACCTTGAACCCTAAACCCCAAACCGCAGGATTTATATCATCAACAGTTAGAGTTCAGGGGAGCTCAAGCTCGTGGTTGGGATGTAAGGGTTTGCATTGTACGAGTTTAGGGTTTTGGATTATTCGGGTGGCTTAAGGCTTAGGCTGTCTGGCCCTTGGCCTGTAGGGCTTGTAGGATCAGTGTTCGAGGACGGGTTGCTGGGTTTAGGGGTTTAGTTGTAGTATCCTTAAGGGAGGGGGGTCCAAGGGGGGTATATAGCCTAGTGATCCCTAACTCTCCCTAGTACTCCCTAAGGTTCCCTTACAGTCCCCTAAGGATTCCTTATACCCTCCCCCCTTGAACCCCCCCCCCTTAAGGATCCTATAGTTTAGGGTTGGTTCGAGGGTTTCAGGGGTTTCGGTCCACAATCCCCGAAACCCCAAATGCTGAAACCCCATTGTCAGAGCCTGACCCACAAAAAGTGCGGCCAGTCTGAACCCTAACCCCGGGCCCACACCCCCTCACACAAAACAAAGCCCCTCTCAGTGGGGTTTCCCAGGTTACTCGAACTGATACATGGTCCTAAATTCCTAAATTAATTCGCAGAAGACGGCTTTGGTGGATATTACAGATTACAATACGGTTTTAAAACGGGACAAAAAACGAAACAGATTGCTGCTGCTAACTGTTCCGACCGATACGCTAGCAGCCTGGCCTTGCTGCTCAATGCCTAAATTTTCATCTCTTGAGATCTTCGGCTTGGGAGCTGCCCTGAACCCTAAACCCTAAGCCCCTAAACCCTAAGCCCCTAAACCCTAAACCCTAAACCTCTAAGCCCTAAGCCCTAAACCCTAAGCCCTAAACCCTAAGCCCTAAACCCCTAAACCCTGAACCTCTAAACCCTAAACCTGGAGCCCGCGAAGCCCCAAACCCTTCCAAAAAGCCTCCGAACAAAACCGCTGACATCGAGAATGTACCCAGAGGGCCCAATACTCCTTAATTAAGGAATATGGCTTAAATCATAATATGAATCCCCTTATAGTTTAAGGTATATTCCTTAATTAAGGGGTATTGGGCTCTCTGGGTAGGAACTTGATACAGGAACCCCAGGTTTCCTCTGGGAGTTTCCGAAAATAGGGGTACCTTATTTGGGGGTCCTTACAATATGGATCCTACTATTCAGGGTACTATATAAGGGTCCCCTATTTCCGGAAAGCCCCATATGCCCAGAAAAGATGATTAAATAGGATCTGCATCTGAGAGCTTTTGTTGGGTGGATGGGTTTAGGGTTTAGGAATAAGAGCACCTTGCTTTGAACAAGTGTTTCTAGTGTTTAAGGGTTGAGGAAATAATGAGATCCTTGTTTCATTTGCCCGAACGAACCCGGGAGTTTCTTAGTCTCCTGAAGGGCTTTGGTAGTGGCGGGATGTACGAGCTCTGAAAGCCTAAAGCCCCAACCCCTAAGCCTCTCAGCCCCCAAACCCTAAACCCTAAACCCTAAAACCCTAAACTGCAAGCTACTGTAACAGCGAAGGATTTTTCCTTGCACCGGATGGCTGCTGCTCACCTGAGAGACCCCGTCGACGGACGAGATAGGGCTCAGCCGTGATGGATATGGTGTACCTGACCGGTCCATTGCCCACAACGGGCGGGATTTGAAGCACAAGCGCGCCCTGAGCGAGCCGTACGCAGGCGGTAGTCCATGTACTTCCGAGGGCAGCCCCGCTGTTGCTTCCAGATGTGCCGTT